GAATCCCTTCAAGTAGGAGTTCAAGCAAGTAAGAAACTACAAGAATCATTTAAAACAACAGTTTGAAGAGTGAACACAAGAAACCTGGCCAGCTTTGATAAAAGATGGTCCGAGATTACATAGGAGATTCCTAAGTTGGCGAGCTCGATATGGAACAACCTCTTCATCCCTCCCAACTAAACAATCGTACATCAAAGAAGACCAGTACAGCCCCAAATTCCACACTATCTCCACACCACGTAGAATAAGTGATGCAACTGCCCCTCGAGATTCCAGTACCGTATTCCTCACCTACATATCAAGACCAGAAAACAGTACACATAAATTTGAACGCAACGAATTCAAGAAACAACTTCAACACTGCCTTATCGTTTCAGAACGAATTAAATGCAGACATCGACAAAATTTCCTATGAATACCTTATGTCTTTCTTGTAACATAAAATCAAAGCACGCTAAAAGAAGAATAGCAAATTGAATAGAACATGATCTGATTACTGGTATATTATCGTACTGTCTCGGGAGAGTACTTTCGAAAGGGGATGCAAACGCCGCGCTCGATATCAAGTTGCTCCATGGCACTGCTAGACTTCCCCGGCGGTAACGACTTATTCTTGGAGTCGGTCGAAGACGTTAAGCTCCTCCTGGCTGTTCCGTTATCTACGCCAACTTCCGTCGTCGACGCGGCGAAATTAGAGACTCTGACCACCGACAGTTTCTTGCTTCTTTGCGGCACACCATGGACAGAGACCGGAGAAGGTGCGAATTGAGGTTGACTTATGCAAGTTGTGTGAATTAAGTTCATTTTGACGGTGCGAATGTTTGGTGTTGGAGGGAAGCGGCTGAGAACGGAGAAGAGAAGAAGAGTCTTCGAAAATCAGTTAAAATGGACGACCACATAACATTTTTGCAGATAATTTTTGAAGCTGTTACTAAATTTATTTTTAATTAAATTATTTAAAAAAAAAAGTTGAGAGAAAGAATTGAAAGTGAGTTTCTGTTTGGCTTGCGTCCACGCTTTTCCTTGGTGCTATGCGTAGCCGTCAAAGCAGCTCTAATTTTTTTTTTTTCTAATTCATTAAAATGCCTCTAAATATTCAATTTTAATATCAAGTGACTTAATTAATATTTTTTACATATCTCACACCCACTAAATCCAATTCTTTATCCATGAAAAAAAATTCAAAAATATTTTTTTTCCTGATGCAATTAAGAAGATTTATTAATTTTGTTTTGACTTAAGTTTAACGCTTATTCAAACCTTGTTAAACTATTACCATTTGAATTGGGTCTATGTTACTAGACTAACCAAACTCAATGCAAACGTATGAAGTACTTTATAATTCAAAGCAAGTTTTGGAAATTCATTGAGATTAAGATAATAACAAATTTCAAAGTCAAAATGTTTAGATCAAATTCAAAAGGTTTCTAATTAAAACAATTATATGAATTATGAATGAATGAGTTATCCAATGATGAATTGAAAATTCTAAATTTGATTTCTATGATGAGATAGGTAAGCTTTATGAAATATAAGAAAACAAATAGATTGATATAACCAATGAATATATACAATCTATAAAAAAATAAAGAAATTTTAACAAGTTTAATGTAAAATTGATTAATTTCTTGCACTAATTTCACTAATCATTAACAATTGATTAATTTCTTGCACTGATACTATCTAATATTATTCAAGAATAACATATGGTGGAAAAACTATAAATTATCATTTAATATATACAATTTAAATAGATATAGAAGTCAATAAAAATCATATTAGAAAAAAAGAGCTTATAAATATAGTTTTGGATACAATTCACGATAACTGCCTATAATAGGACACCATAGTCATGCTCGTAGCATTTTGTAATTTCATTCTCATAGTTTTAATTTTTAAATTTATCTTTTTATATATTACTCTTTCTATCTTTAAATTGTAGTATTTTTATTTTTATGAAAATTAACAAAAAATGTTAATACTTTAAATCTGAAAATAAAAAGATTATATAAAAAATAAATATATATATATGATAAAAGAGAATATTAGGTATCTAAAAAATTTTAGTTTTGAATATCTGAAAAAAAGACATATATAAAATGATGAATATAGTATTAAATGGGGAGAATAATCTTATTTAATCCTTATATTTTACTCTATACTAATAGTAATAATATTCATTCTAAATACTAATAATAATAATAATAAATATGACACAGGAGAGAACGACAGATGAAGGGACGAGAACTCGCGATCGGAAAGTGGCGATATTTTGAAAATACGAGCGGGATCGACTTTCCTCTTCTGGCAACCTGGGCTGGGACCAACTAACAATAGCCAGGCGGGAAATCCAAACTAATTGGCGGGAAGCGGAACAGGTAAGCCTTTGTCTATATTCTACAAAGTAGTACTGTCAGTTCCTATTTAGTTTTCAACTTTCTTTTCCGCTATTTCTAGGGTTCCAAAATATGTACTCAAGCAGCCAGTTCGACGCCACCTCCGCCTTCTCCGGCGGCGGATTCATGCCCTCTCAGCCTTCTCAGTTCGCTAATTCAACTCCATCTCCTGCAAGAGTCAGTCATTCTCTCTTTCATCTATATGCCTTCGTCTTTTGTATGTTCCATTTGGTTGCCGAGGAAGTCTAGGGAAAAATTGTTTAGCGCCCAGGGGAATAACATAAATCTGGGAAAAGGATCTTGAAACTTTGTTTTATTTGTTATAATTGATCAAATTTTCAATGTTCTTTTTTTATTATTCGTGGGTTAGCAGAGTCGTGACACGCAGGGGTTGATATCCGTGACAGTGAAGCAGATAAGTGAAGCTTCTCAATCTGGTGATGAGAAATCCAATTTCGTAATTGAAGGTGTTGATGTTACCAATGTACCATTTCTTGAATCCTTCCACTGCTCCCATTTCTCTTTGTTTGTTTCGTATAAAAAGAATAATAGTGTTCTAAATCTCTGTAGCTTAGTTTTGAATTGAGATTTCGAAGAATGAACTCAACTATTTGATTAATTCCTTTTTCTTTCTTTTTTTGGGTGCTTTGCCGGTTCAGGTTACGGTGGTTGGCATGGTATTTAACAAAAATGTAAGGTCCTCGGATGTTCGTTTCCACCTTGATGATGGAACAGGCCGAGTTGAATGTATAAGATGGTGATGCACCAGTTTCCATTTGAATTCACTCTATGAATATCATAATATTGTTTAGGATTAGAGAATCACTTTTGATTTGAAATCTGAAATTATTTCATGTAAATGAATTTTTGTCTCAATCAGGGTAACCGAAAATCTTGACACAAGAGAAATGGATGCATTAGAGTAAGCTCTCTCCTTCATTTGAATCAATTAAGCATTATCCGTTTCGAGTTTTGGAATATCATTAGATGCTTTTACATCAATATTATTCTTACATTCTTTAATTTCGTTGTGAAATAGAGATGGAACTTACGTTCGTGTTAATGGACACTTGCAAAGTTTTCAAGGCAAGAAGCAATTAAGTGCCTTTTCTCTGAGGTATGGTTGTAGAAATAAATTTTATAGCTTCCCAATATTTTCTGGATCACTTTTTTGTTGTTAGCACATCCAACAATTTGTTGATAGTGCATGCTCTTTCCATGAATCTGATCATATTAATAATTTTAATGCCATCTAATCCATATCATGTGACAAATTGTTTCTATAGACTCATGTATATGCATTTGTCAAGTTAGCTTTATTTCAACTCCCAATGAAGCAAGCATGAGAGCCAAAACTAGGATAGGCATTGTTGTCTTGTTCTGCTTAGAACATATTGCTGCTTTGCAGCTGATGTTTATTCATTTGCCTGCTTTAATTTGGCGCTGTGACAAATTTGGATGCCTACAGTCTGAGAATGTGTCAGTGTGCACCTAGTTGCATTTTAGTGTGGATTTCTGGTACCATTAGAGCAGCAATGAGTTTCTTTTGCCATATGTAACTCGTTTTTTCCTTCTTCAGTTCTGCCATCTGCCATCTAATTGATTGTCTAAACTATAAGTCATAAATCAACAGACTAGCTTGGATATGTATTCTTGACAACTACTTGACTTCTATTTGATGCACTTTGTGCGTCCATGTGCATAAGCATTAGTGTCTTATGGTTTATTTGGTTTGTTTTGTGATTCTCAGGCCAGTGACAAATTTTGATGAAGTTACTTGCCACTTTATTGAGTGCATACATTTCCATCTTCACTCCAAACTACAGGTATTTATGTCTAAAATTGATAAAAATTGCATTATAAAATGCTTATGCACTTGATTCATTCTTTAGGAGAAGAGTATTGCTTCTGATTTGTGATTTCCTTGTGCTAATTGTAGTCACAGGGTGGTGCTTTGTCCCAGCCACAGATGGATTCATCATTGAGCACTCCTGTGCGGGGTGCATCAACTGGAATTCAGCCAGCTTTGGTGAATGATGTATGAAATCAAAATATTATAGTTTTTGTTTTCTCTTGAACTCCTTATCATTTTGTATTTTGCATATATCATATTCTTTTCTTTTCCAGTTCTCTGTGCAATATAGTGCTGATGGACTCAAGGGTTTTGATAAAATGGTTCTGAACTATCTGCAGCAACCTTCAAACATGTAAGTAGTGCACTGAAATTTTGTGTTTGACCCCTCAGGAGGAAAGTGGCCTTCAAAATATTTTGATTTGGAAAACCTGTATGCGCTCATTACATGCATAAAAATGCAGATACATGTATATAGTTACAAGCACATATATTTCCCATGTTTATTTAAGTCAAGCTCTTCATGAACTTGAATGAATGGAGCTTTGCAATGTTCAAGC